GCTGGTGGCGGGTGGGTGAGAAAGCAAGCTGTCAGGTCTGGGACTTGAACCTAGTTGTCCATGTGGAAGTCCAGCGCCCTTAACCACCACACCACCTGCCAGCACCCTGGAGTGTCACTTAGGTATTCTGAAAGCGAGGGCACTCAGTCCTGCTGCATCCTTCCATGTGGGAGGCCTGGCAGAGCTTCAGGCTCCGGCCATCGCTGGCGCGGGGGGCGCCCTCTGTAGGCACCTGCCCTGTGAGTAGCAGGGCGCCAGGTAACGGAGATTGTGCTGTGATTTGTCTCTGCATTTTCAGAGACCGTCTTGGTGGCTTAGCTCACGGTGACCCTTGCCCCCCTTTTACTACTCTTCAGAGAACTGAGAAGTTGCTGGAAACCATTGACCAGCTCCACCTGGAGTTTGCCAAGAGGGCGGCACCTTTCAACAACTGGATGGAGGGTGCCATGGAGGACCTGCAGGACATGTTCATCGTGCACAGCATCGAGGAGATCCAGGTGACCACGCTACGCGCCGGCCGTCCTGCCCACGCGGCTCGGCTGTGCTGCACCATATTCGACTGATTTACTTGTAAACTAAGAAGCGTGTGGTTGCCCTTTGAACCTCGAACGTGTAGGCTCCTCCTTGTTGCAGCCATGGTAACGTAAGTGAGATCATGTCGAACCCACTAGAAGGGAGCAGGAACGCCAAGTCTGGGTAAGCAGGTGAATAGCCATCAGACAGACAGCCATCACATTTCCCGTTTTCAAGGACCTTGGCTTCTGCGCACCAAGTAGCTTTTCTAAAGCCTCCAGAACTTCTGTCCCCAGCGCTTCTCAGTTACCAAGGCACTGCCCGTTGTCCCGTTGTCCAGTGCGCGTGTGCGGGGACTTGGCAGCCTGGACAGGGGACACGGTCAGACGGCTCTCTCGCTGTGTCTGCCGCAGAGTCTGATCACCGCCCACGAGCAGTTCAAGGCCACGCTGCCCGAGGCGGACAGCGAGCGCCAGTCCATCTTGGCCATCCAGAACGAGGTGGAGAAGGTGATCCAGAGCTACAGCATCCGGGTCAGCTCGAGCAACCCGTACAGCACGGTCACCATGGACGAGATCCGCACCAAGTGGGACAAGGTGGGCTGCTGTGGACGGGGTGCGGGCAGGGCCTCTCCAGGCTGTGGCCTGGGAGAGGCTGGCACCTCGGGTCTGAGTGCCTGCCTCGTTTTACGTTCCGACCGGGATGCCCGCATCCCAGCTTGCACAGGTGAAGTGTGTTAAAGTCGTTGTGCCGCCTGGCAGCTTCTGTGGTTTATGGGGAAGAAAGTGGAGACCGTGGCCCTGGAGGAAGGCCGGGCAGATGTGGCAAAGTCAGTGGGGGTCATGACTGATGCCAGTAGGGAACCTCTTCCTAAACCCTAGCTGCCTCTGTTACTTCTTTAAGGACCACTTAAAGAATATGGAATAGGCATGTCCCAATGCGTGTCAATTTTAAATGCAGAAAAATTGCTTAGAGAACTCTATCTGAGGAATGGAATGATTCCTACTAAGATTGCCTTTCAAATTTTGGAACCTGGGGGTCAGCAGGTGGTGTAGTAAAGGTGGTGGACTCCCACATGGCTGACCACAGTTCAGGTTTGGACCCAACAGCTTGAAAAATCATGCTGGGTGTGTGTACATGTGTGCCCAAAATCCTGAGAGGAGACTGAGGACAAGGGATTGCAGTGCGGCCATTCTCCCTGGGGACTGATTTCTTACTTTCCCTCTCTCTGTCTCTGGCAAGCGCATGCACCCTATGATAAAACCTTAAATACAGTTACAGTTAAGCTAAGTAACTTTTTAAAAATGTTACAAAAATTTTGGGGGGAAAACTGTCCACTAATTATAGTCAAAATAGGATCTTCTGAACCCTTTTGTCTCATTTTAAGAAAAAAATGTATTTTCGTGGTTTAAATTACAACAGACATAGTCACCTCGGTATCTAACGCAGCCTCTGAGGAGTAAGCCCACCAGGTAGACTTGAAGCGTTTACTCTAAGCAGCACATGAGCGAGGGACACACACCTGAGGAAAATGAATGCTCACCTTAGAGACAGCAGCTACGTTAAAGCTTAAATTTAACTCGGATATTCCTGACTGCCAAAGGCAGACATGCGGAGCTAAGTAGTTTTCTCAGAAAAGGGAAAAAGGAGGAGAAGGAAATGCAGTCCTCAACACGGTTTGACTTACATTTTTCGACTTCTCGATACCAAAGAACATGCGTTCAACAGGAAGTGAACCTTGAGGACCACGAGCCGTCCTGGTCTCACTTCAATGCTCAGAGAATTACATGAGATGTTCAGCACACTTTTTTTAATAAAATGGGCTTTGTGGTGGGTGCCTTTGCCCAGCTGTGGGCTAACACGAGTGTGTTTTAGATAGGCCAGGCTACACTGCAGGTCAGGTGTAGGAAGTGCAGGTTTTTTTTTTTTTTTTTTTTTTAAGAGAGATTTTTACTGTAGGTTGCATGCACTTGCTGTAAAGAGACAGAGAGACAGAAAGCGAGAAATCACCCCCCGGGAGGATGGCCACACTGCAGTTCCTTTTTCTCCCTTTTCTTCTTCTTCTTCTTTTTCTTTTTTTTTTTTTTTTTGAGAGGTTTTTGCTATAGGGCGCGTGCGCTCGCCAGACAGGCAGAGAGAGACAGAGAGACAGAAAGCTAGAAATCACCCCCCAGGGCGGATGGCCACACCGCAATCCCTTCTCCTCCATTCTTCTCTCGGGATCTTGGGCACACACGCACACACACCTGGCATGAGATTTAAGCCACCGGGTCCGGGACTTGAACCGCGGTCGACTATATGGGAGTCCAGCGACATAGCCAATATGCCAACTGCTGGTCCCCTCCGTTTTCTTCTTGATTTGGGGCATGCACACACACGTACCCAATGTGTTTCAAACCACTGAGTCAGGGACTTGAATCACGGTTGGTCAGAGGAGGAGAGTGGAGGAGAATGGATTGCAGCATGACCATCCCCCCTGGGGGGTGAGTTCTCGTTTCCTGTCTCTCTGTCTCTCTGTCTCTCTGGTGGGAACCAGAGATGTAAACATTACGCCTTCTAATAGTCCTAGTAAGTGCGCTTTTAAACACATTTTTTCAAGAATTATTTCATTTAACTTCATTTATTTACTTTTATTTGACCAGAGAGAGACTGAATGAGAGAGCAAGAGGGAGGGTAGGTGAGAATGCAAGCCGCCAGGCCCAGGACTAGAACTGTGGTCGGCCTTGTGGAAGTCCAGTGCCCTTAACCAGCAACCAGCATGCGCCCTGCTGGCCCAGTAAGTGCACTTTGACGCAGGGTATTTTCAAGGAGGATCTAAATGTAATTTCTTTCTTTCTTCTTTTTCTTTTCTTTTTTTTTTTTTGCTATAGGGCGCATGCACTCGCCAAACAGACAGACAGAGAGAAAGTGAGAAATCACCCCCCGGGGGGGTGGCCATGCAGCAATCCCTTCTTCTCAATTCTCCTCTCAGGATCTTGGGCACGCACGCACACGCGCCCAGACCAAGTTTAAGCCACTGGGCCCGGGACTCGAACCACTGTCGACCATGTGGGAGTCCAGCGACACAGCCATTATGCTAACTGCTGGTCCCTAAATGTAATTTCTTGATTTTTCTTTTTAAAGAATTATCCATTTAATTTTATTTGGTATCATTATTTTTTAATGAGAGAGAGAGAGAGCAAGAAAGCAAAACACCAGGTCCTGGACTTGAACTGTGGTTGGCCATGTGGGAGTCCAGTGCCTTAGTCTCCACGCCATCTGCCAGCCCCTGGATAGCATTTCTTAAAGCAAGACAAACTTCCTTTCATCAGTAAGTTATAAAGCAAATTGGCCATGGGGTGTCTAAAAGGGCCTGTGCTATGGCGGGATGTGTAGACTGGGTATAATCCTGCCCTGGGCCCAGCCTTGTGCAGCCTGAGTGCACGAGCCCAGCAGGGCTCCTCACGTCCCTAGCATGGGTCTCTCTGGCGGTCTGGGAACCCTGGAAGGTAACGTTTGTATCATAAAACATCTAAGATTGGGTAGGAGACAGGCGCTGCTGAGGTGTCGTCATTACAGCCTCTTTAAGTCAGGGTGTGGGACACACGAACATATCTGAAACCGTCATCTTGAGCAGGTGTCATTCTTGGAAGCAGAGTGAGTGTGTGAGGTGTCGCAGGGTCACCGTGGCTCCACACGAGCTCCTCCTGGCCAGAGGAACCGTCAGTGTCCCTAAGGCAGGCTCCACCTGCCCTCAGACCCTCCAGCCTCTCAGCAGGTGTGAGGTGGCTCCAAACTGCACGGACCCTCCCTCTGGGCCATTGGGGGGGTACCCACTCCCCGTCCTCTCATCTTCCCCCACCGCCCCCCACTCCCCGACCCCACCCCCAGCCTGGAACATGACCTCTTCCCGGGTCACTCCTATGCGTCGACGCTGGCCTCAACCTGCTGTCCTCGGCCTCCCAGGTGAAGCAGCTGGTGCCCATCCGCGACCAGTCCCTGCAGGAGGAGCTGGCCCGCCAGCACGCCAATGAACGCCTGCGGCGCCAGTTTGCTGCACAAGCCAATGCCATCGGGCCCTGGATCCAGAGCAAGATGGAGGTGGGTCTGCTCCCGGGGCTTGCAAGGCCTGATGCGAGCACCTCGCTCTGGGTTTCTCAGCGCCCAGGGGTGCTGTGAGAGCCCCTTCCTATGGTCCCCTGGGCTGTGCCAGGCACACCGCAGGGTGAAGACACTCACAGCACCTTCCGACTCTCCCTTAGAAATGACAGGGCCCAGGACCAGCAGTTAGCGTAATGGCTATGTCGCTGGACTCCCACGTAGTCGACCGCGGTTCGCATCCCGGACCTGGTGGTTTAAATTCACACTGGGCGCATGTGCGTGCGTGCCCAAGATCCTGAGAGGAAAACGGAGGAGAAGGGATTGTGGCATGGCCATCCCCCCTGGGGGGTGATTTCTCGCTTTCTGTCTCTATGTCTCTCTCTGTCTTTCTGGTGAACACACCTGCCCTGCAGACTGAGGCCACTTGGGAAGCCTGGGGTTGACCGTGGCCCACCCCAAAGACCGGCGTGGTGGCATGTGCCTGTAGTCCCAGCTGTTTGGTAGGCCGGGGCAGGAGTGTTGGAACATAGCAGGACCCTGCCTAAAAAAATAAACAGTGACAGATCCTTTCTCAGTTTCAGGCCAGCACAGGACCTAGGGTCCAAGCCATTTGCCTAGGAGGCTCCCAAACCCGTCAGGGCCCGTCAGGAGATGGGTCATTGTGTGACCTAGCTGGGTTTATTTTACACCGAGGACAGCTAGGGGACATTTGCCGGTCCACCTATCTCTCTCCTTATCACCCTTGTGGTGACAAAACATTAGCTTTTTTTCCTTGAAGAATGTTTAAATATAAGAAGTCCCAGGGTCAGCAGGTGGTATGGTGGTTAAAGGTGCTGGACTCCCACATGGTCAACTATGGTTCAAGTCCCGGACCTGGCAGCTTGCTTTCTCACTTTCTTTCTCTTTCTCTCTCTCACCTGTCTCTCTCTGGTCAAATCAAAACATAAATAAATAAGTTAAATAAAATAATTCTTTAAAAATAAATAAAGAGAAGTCTCTCTTGCTGGAGGGGCAGGTGGTATCCTTAAAAGCAGCTGTAGCCCAGCCTCGCCCCACCTGTCCTACAGCCCTGCCCCAGTCCTCAGAAGCAGGGCAGCTCTGCCCCAGCCCTCTGTCTCTCCTGGCCCAAGGGAGCAGAGCAGCTCTTCAGGGAGGCAGGAGGTCTCCTTCCTCCCCTCTCTTGACTGTCTTCAGTCTCGTTGGACTCTCTCCCATTCTCTGGACAGAGCAGACCCAGGCCTTGTCTCGCGTGACCTTGCCCGTTCCCACGTCCTGCACAGGGCAGGGCTCTGGCCCCTGCCTGTGACATCCCACTGACTGTCTTCTTGCCACGCCGCCCTGCTAGGAGATTGCCCGGAGCTCCATGCAGATCACCGGGGCCCTGGAGGACCAGATGAACCAGCTGAAGCAGCATGAGCACAGCATTGTCAACTACAAGAGCAACATCGACAAGTTGGAGGGCGACCACCAGCTCATCCAGGAGGCCCTGGTCTTCGACAACAAGCACACCAGCTACACGATGGAGGTGCGGCAGCCCCCCCGCCGCGCCCGCTCCGCCGCCTCCGCGCGCCGCCTCTGCGCTTTCTCCCGCACTGGCCTCTACTCGCCCTGCTGGGTCCTGCGAGTGCGAGTTAGGGATCAGGAGCCTTCCCGGCCCTGCGTGTGGGAAAGCTCTGGGGCCTGTCGGGGGCCGCTACCATCATGACGCCAGCACAGGAAACTCCTGGCAGTCTTTAGAGACAGCATCAGAACCCGGGCTGCTGTATTTCCATCGGTTTGGCCCGTTTGTTCTCCCTGGGGGCTGGCGGGTGTCACCCAGGCTCAGCCGCTGCTTGGTAAGTGGCGCGTGTCCTTAACGACGGATAGGAGGCATCTACCCCGCAAGTGCGGGTCGTCACTCATTTCTGAGCACTTCTCACTGCAGACCGCCCAGAACGAAGGGGAGTGTCAGGAAGGGCGCAGGGAAGTCCATCGGCCTGCCCCTCTGCCTCGGGCCCGGTGCTGGGAAGTGCAGGCGTGCGTGCCGGGCGGCAGGGCCCGTGCTGATACCACCCCCTTCCATCCCCGTCCCCGTCCGCTCGTAGCACATCCGTGTGGGCTGGGAGCTGCTGCTGACCACCATCGCCAGGACCATCAACGAGGTGGAGACCCAGATCCTGACGAGAGACGCCAAGGGCATCACCCAGGAGCAGATGAACGAGTTCAGAGCCTCCTTCAACCACTTTGACAGGGTACAGCACTCGCGCGTGCCGTGGAAGGGGGCGTCTGGGTGGCGCGTGCTGGCCCTGCTCACCTTACTGCCCTAAAACCTTCAGAGGAGCGGGACGATGGATGGGCCCCAAACAAGGCGTGCCGTGCCCCAGTGTTGCGACAGGTGACGGGAACAGCGGGTCTGGGCTCTGTCCGGCCGGCCCCAGAAGAGCATGTTTGTGGTCGGTACAGAAGCATGCCATGTCCCAGGTGAAAGCGCATCCTTACTGAGGCGTACACTGCCCTGACGTCAGCATCTGTGCACACGCACGGCTCTGAGGCCTGCCCCTGTGGGACTGTAGGAAGCTTCAGGGGAATTAACCTACTCTTTTTTAGCAGATGGGATTCAGTTTTCTTTTTTCCCTTTTTTTAAAAAAAATTCCTATAGCGTGCGTAGGTGTGTGCAGTTGTTGGGGGTGGGTGGAGAGAGAGAGAGAGAGCATCTTCCAGGGGGATGGCCACTCCACAGTCCCTTCTCTTCTCAGGATTTTTTGGGCATGCATGCCCTTGTTTTTCAAGCCACTGGGACCAGGACTTGAACTGCACAGTCAGACATGTGGGGTCCAGCACCTTAACCACTCTGCTACCTGGTTGGCCACAGTTTTCTTTTTTAAAACAAGATCAACTCATGATATGTTTTAAGAAAAATGCACCAACAAAGTGGCGACAGCTTTCATAGTAAAGGCCTATAAGGTGCTGGGGCGTGTGGTCCCTGACGGGGCGAGCAGGGCCTGGGGACAGGGACTGGCACAGACACGGGTACTGGGGCGTGTGGTCCCTGATGGGGTGAGCGGGGCCTGGGGACCGGGTCTGTCATAGACATGGGCACTGGGGTGTATGGTCCCTGACGGGGTGAGCAGGGCCTGGGGACAGGGACTGGCACAGACACAGGCACTGGGGTGTGTGGGCCCTGACGGGGCGAACAGGGCCTGGGGACAGGGACTGGCAGACATGGGCACTGGGGTGCATGGTTTGGGCACAGCTATTCCCGTAGAAACATGCTGTGACACTAGCCTGGCTTCATTCTCCACAGTCCAAGTCCCTCTCTTGGTGGAGGGAAGTGGTTCCCGCAGAGGAGCCCCTGGGCTGCTGAAGAGCCTCTCCTGGGCTCGCAGGCCGCCTAGTGGGCTGGCTGGACCCTGTGTGTTGAGACAGCCTTTTGCAACACAAGCGTGAGGCGGGCAGCACAGAACTCGCCAAGCGTGAGTCTGGCTAGCGTTGAAGAGTCTGCATCTTGGAAAGCGAGACATCACGTGTGCTGGCAGGTGGGCGGCGCCAGGGACAGGGGCCATTCTGCTCCATCTTCTAGTAAACAAGATGGACAGGGAGCTGGGAGGCCGTGGTCCACACGGTGTGTAGACGCTCGCTCTCTGGGAGCAGCTGGGTGTGCCACACAGAGGGCTGCTGCACCCACACCCTGGCCTGCAAGTGGCTGAGAGTCGAGTTATGTTGGAGCAGTGGGAAGGCGCTCATTCTTAGGGGACTTTTCTGACTAGCTGGCCCCTGGGACGCTGGCCCTGAGTCCTGTCACTGGTAGGTGGCAGGATGGGCCCCTGCCTGGCTGTTTTTGCTGCTTTCTTGAACTCATGGTCTCCATTCATTTTGATCTAGTCTTTAGCCTCTGTCCCCTCTTTCGTATTTGTTTGAAATATTTTTACACATGTCCTTTAATTTAGATTGCTGTGTGAGCTGTCTCCAGGCAGGGGGTGCTCAGCCCAGTCAGCGCAGGCTGCCCCACAGTGAGGGGCAGGAGGGCACTGCCCAGTCAGCACGGCCTGTCCAGTAGTGAGAGGCCTTTGGTGTTCTCCCCTCTGGGTGACGCTGTGGGAGGCTGAGTTTGGAGAAGGGTGGGGAAGAGCTACGAAGGGAGATTCCTTTTTTATGAACTCACTGACAATCAGCCTTAAATTTGAGACAAAAACAAAGTGGATGTGGTAACAGGTTCGTGGTCATTCTTGGCCAATGACAATACTACAGGCAGCTTGGAGCCCGACATGGGGAAGTAACACTTCATAGTCAGGCCGAGTTCTCTGTCTGCCCCCCTTACTTCAAGAAGGCCCCGAAGGTGGCGTGGTGGTTAAGGCGCTGGACACTCCCACATGGCTGACCATAGTTCAAGTCCTGGACCTGGTGGCTTGCTTTCTTGCTTCCTCTCTCTCTTCTGGTCAAATTAAACTAAATGAGTGAATAAATAAAATTAAATTTAAAATTTTTTTTTAAAAAAAGGAATAAAAGAAGACCCTTAGAGAGCACCACAGGGTCAGAGGAGAGCGGTGGGTGCGCTGCCCTTAGCACCTCCCAGGAGGGGCCCCATCACCCCCGTCACTCACGTCCCCTGAAAGGATGCAGCTTGGCCTGGCCAGGGGGAGGGTGTAGGGCATGGGCTTCGGGTCATTCTGCCCTCTAGGGCTCCGAACCCAGGAGCTCTCCAGACTGTTCTGAATTTTTATGGAACGGTCACTATGTCACTATGCAGGCAGGACTAGATCAAACCACCCACCCTTCAGCTTCCCCCCCTCTGTTTGAAGAAACCTCTGCTTTCCTGTGTGGCCTGGCCTTCCTGCACATGGCGGGAGGAGCCGGGCTGCCTCCCAGGACTGCGCTCGCCTGGCCAGCAGGGTCTGCGTTTTGCCCGAGCCTCACCTCCCTGTCCTTTAATGTGCCCGCAGAGGAAGAACGGCCTGATGGATCACGAGGACTTCAGAGCCTGCCTGATCTCCATGGGTTACGATTTGGTAAGACGGCCGTCGAAACAAAGCTCACGCCTGAAAGTCCGCTGGGTGTGGGTTTTGTAATAGAGGGAGGTGACTTAGCTTCGAACCCCGTCCCTCGCTGGGGATGCAGGATGGGATCTCTGACGGTCTGCCTGTCTATGCAAAAATAATTTCGAGGAGCTGGAGCTTAATTTCATTCAGTAACTGGTCTAGTGAAAGGACGCGTGGTGGGTGGTGACAGGGACAGGGACCCACTCTACTTCATCTCCAGAAAACAGTGCGGGTGGGCGTTTTGTCCCAGGGGCTTCCTGCT